GATATAGACACTAACAGGTGTGGGCTGAGGAAACCTGGGGAATAAACACCTTGTTTGCTCAAAACTCCACAATGACCCATCAAACATATGGAGGGGCTGGGTACCGCCCACACGACCAGTTTCGATGGGAGCACTCTAAAGCATGTATTATTATTATGATTTTAAAGCAGATTTATTGGGAAATAATTTACATACCATAAAATTCATGCCTTAAAATTATCCAATTAAGAGGTTTTTAGTATATCTACAGAGTTGCGCATCCATCACCAGAATCTAATTTTGGAATATTTTCATCTCAAACAGAAACCTTGTACCCATTGACAGTCATTCCCCATCCCCCATCTCCAACTTCCAGCCCTAGGGAACCACTAATCTATTAATCTGTGTCCAGAAATTTGGCTATTTGGACATTCATATAAGCAGATTTAGGCAATATGTGGTCTTTTGCAAATGACTTTTTCATTTAGAAGAATGTTGTTGAGGTTCATGCATGGTTAAGTATATAACCACTAGTAGCCCGGTACACGAAATTCATGCACATTGAAAGGGAATTAATTGCCCTAACTGGTTTGGCTCAGTGGATAGAGCGTCGGCCTGCGGACTCAAGGGTCCCGGGTTCGATTCCGGTCAAGGGCATGTACCTTGGTTGCGGGCACATCCCCAGTGGGGGGCATGCAGGAGGCAGCAGATCGATGTTTCTCTCTCATCGATGTTTCTAACTCTCTATCCCTCTCCCTTCCTCTCTGTAAAAAATTGATAAAATGTATTTTTTTAAAAAAAAGAAAGGCTGCCCAGCTGTGGCCAGAATCGGTGAAATTGGACACCCGTCCTCTGCTTGTGAAAACTGGTCAAAGATTTTGAAAGAAAAATTTGTCCATATATACTCATAACTTACACTACTTGCTTTAGTGACTTCATTTCTGGGCACCTATCCTGAGGAAAATACTTAAAATGCACCGAAGTTCCACACAGGTTCTTCCCTCAGGCCACACGGGAAACAGCTGGGGAGGGCGCAGCCCTTGGCAAAGCGACCCAGGATTCAGTGGGTCCAAAGCTCTGAGGGCGGGTTCCTGCCTCAAACCCCACCTTCACCGGAAACAACTCCGGGAAACAACTCGGGGGAGGGTGCAGCCGTTGCCAAGACAACCCCTGCAGGACTGACTTCCTTTCGCTTGGTTGAGATTCTGATGGTCGTGATGAACACCACCCATGGTTTTTATTTAAGTAGATAATACATTATTTTTTAATTCTAAATAATATTCCATTGCATGAATGGACCACATGTTGTTTATCCATTCATCAGCTAATGGAATTTAGGTTGTTTCCACTTTGGGGTAATTATGAATATATTGCTATGAATACTTTGTACAATTTTTATGTGTAGAAATATGTTTTCATTACTCTGTGTAGTTACCTAGGAACAGAATTCCTAGGTCATATGGTAACTCTGTTTAAGATTTGGGGGGACTGCCAAACTAGTTTCCAAAGTGGCTGCATCATTTTATATTCTACCAGCAATGTATGAGTTTCTCCACATCCTTGGCAGCACTTGCCATTATCTGCCTTTTTTGTTCTAGCCATCCTAGTGCACGTGAAGTGGTATTTCATGGTGCTGCCATGACAACCAACAGTGTTGAGCATCCTCCCATGTGCTTATTGACCACTCTTACATTTTCTTTGGAGAATGGTCAATGTATTCATTCCCTTTTATGGCTGAACTATATCCCATTACATAGATATACTACCTATATTCATCAGTTAGTGAACATTTGGGTTGAATTCACCTTTTGGCTACTGTGGACAATGCTGCTATAAACATTCATATACAAGTTTTTCTGTGGACGTATGTTTTCATTTTTCTTGGGTATGTGCTTAGGTGTGGAATTACACCATTTTACATCCCCACCAGTAGTATATGAGACTCTTATTTCTCCACATCCTTGCTAACACATGTTACTGTATCCCATTCTGTGGGTTATCTTTTCATTTTCTTGAGGGTATCCTTTGAAGCATAAAAGTTTTAAAACTTGAGGATGTCAATTTATCTTTTTTCTTTTTAGCTTATGCTTTTGTTACATCTAAAACCCCTTTGCCACACAGTAATTCTATTTTTAATTTTTTGAGGATTCTCCCAGGAATTCCACTGCCGGGTAATTATCCAAAACACTAATTTGAAAAGATGTATGCACCCCTATGTTCATTGCAGTGTTATTTACAATAGCCAAGATATGGAAGCAACCTAAGTGCCTATGAATAGATGACTGGATAAAGAAGATGTGGTACCTATATACAAGGAATATTACTTGGCCATAAAAAAGAATGACATCTTACCATTTGCAACAATATGAATGGATCTAGAGGGTATTGTGCTAAGTGAAATAAGTTAGACATAGAGAGAAAAATGCCCTATTATTTCACTTATATGTGGAATCTAAAGAACAAAGTAAACAAACAAGTAAAACAGAAACAGACTTATAGCTATAGAGAACAAATTGATGGTTGCTAGATGAGAGGGGGTAGGGGGGCTGGGTGAAAAAGAGGAAGGGATTGTACCCACAAATTGGTGGGTACAAAACAGTCACGAGGATGTAAAGTACAGCACAGGGAATATGGTCAATAATGTTGTAATAGCTATGCATGGTGCCTGGTTGGTACTAGACTTATTGGGAGGATTACTTCATAAGTTATATAAATGTCTACCAACTATGCCGTACCCCTGAAACTAATATAAAATAATATTGAATGTCAACTATAATTGAAAATTCTTTGTGAAATCCAAGGTCATGAAGGTTTACCCATGTTTTCTTCAAACTTTTATAGTTTTAGCTCTTACATTTAGGTATTTGATCCATTTTAAGTTAATTTATGTATGTGGTGTGAGGTAAGGTCCAAGTTCATTCTTTTACATGTGGTTATTCACTTGTTCAATTTATTGAAAAGAGCATTTTTCCTCCACTGAGTTGTCTTGCTACCTCTGTTGAAAATTAATTGACATAAATGTAAGGGTTTGTTCCTGAACTCCCAATTCTATTTCATTGACCAACTGCCTTGATTACAGCAGCAGTGTAGCAATTTTGATATTGAGAAATATGAGTCCTTCAACTTTGTTTTCTTTTTTTAGATTGTTTTGACTATTCTGGGTTCCTTGCATTTCAATATGAATTTTAGGATCTGCTTGTCAATATCTGCAAAATGTCAGCTGGGATTGTGATAGGGATTGTGTTATATCACTTTGGGCGTACTGCCGATTAAACAATATTAAGTCCTCTGATCCATGAGCATGAGATTTCTTTCACCTTTTTTAGATCTTCTTTTTGATACACGAATCATTTTATTCATTAACAAAATTTATGTCTTTCACTGTTACTCATTAATCTTTTTTAAAAAAATTTATCTTTATTGTTGAAAGTATTACAGATGATTCCTTTTTTTTCCTCATTGACACCCTTCACCTGTCCCCCTGCCTCAAATCTTCACCACACTAATGTCTGTGTCTTTAATTATCTTCAACAATATTTTGTAGTTTTCTTGACTTTTGTTAAATTTAGTTATAAATATTTTATTCCTTTTGATGCTATTGTAAATTGAATTGTTTTCTTATTTTTATTTTCAGATTGTTGATTGCTAGCATATAGATAAACAATTGAAATTTGTATATAATCTTGTATCCTGCTTTCTTGTGTGAATATTGAGATGATCGTGTTTTTTAGTTGTTTACTCTATTTGGATGTTTAAACCAACCTTGCATATTTGAGATAAATCCTACCTGACCATAGAATGCCATTCATGTGCTACAGGGTTTGGTTTGCTAGAGTTTAGTGAAAATCTTGGCATCTGTATTCATAAGAGATCTTGGTGTATAGTTTTCTTTTTTTGCGATGTCTTTGGTTTTGGTATAATACTTGTCTCATACAGTGAGTTAAGACTTGTTCCCTCTTCTATTTTCTGGAAGAGTTTATGTAAGATTGGTACTAATTTTTTATATGCTTGATAGAATTCACCAGTGAAGCCATGTGGGCCTGAGTTTTTATTTGTGAGAGGTTTTAAATTTAATACTTCCATCTCTTTGCTTATAATTGTTCTATTAAGATTATTTCATATTGTGTCAGTTTGGCAGTTTCTGTCTTTCGGTGAATTTGTCCATTTCATCTCAGTTATCTGATGGGTAGGTATACAGTTGTTCATAGTATTCCCTTGTAGTCATTTTAATTTCTATGAGTTGGTATTGATGCTTCCTCTCTTCTAATTTTAATAATTTGTGGCCTCTCTTTTTTCTTAATCTTTAGCTAGAGATTTGCCAATTTTGTTTTGGATTATGTACCACTTTTATAATCAAACTAGAGGCCTGGTGCACGAAATTCGTGCACATCATGGGGGTGGGGAGGGTCCCTCAGTCAGGCCTACACCCTCTCCAATCCGGGACCCCTCGGACATCTCTCTTGCGATCTGGGACTGCTGGCTCCTAACCGCTCACCTGCATGCCTGCCTGATCGCCCCTAACTGCTCCCCTGCTGGCCTGATCGCCCCTAACCGCCTCTGCCTCGGCCCCTGCCACTGTGGCTTTGTCCGGAAAGATGAAGGGAAGAGGTCCAGTTGACCCAGTCTAATTAGCATATTACCCTTTTATTAGTATAGATTATTATCAGAAGACATAAAAAGTGAGGGGTAATCCTTACAACTGGAGGTGAGGGAACATCAAGATAAATTCAAGCTGTTGCTGCCCATTCCTCCTAAATGCCAGTATGGTCGATCCCAAGATTTTTTTATTATTATTATTGATTAAAGTATTACATATGTTTCCTTTTCCCCATAATTCTCTTTACCACCTCTGCTAGGAGTGGTGGTTGGGGGGAGCTTGGGGACCAGAGGTGGCTGGTGCCTTGGTCATCACTCACCAGCAGTGATGGGCCATAAGCTGTGGGCAGGGATCATCTCATAGCACGGCCCCGAGACAGAGGAAACCGGGGTCCCATGCCATGCGGCCTGATGTCATCACTCACCTGTACTGTTTCTGCCGTGTATCCAGTTCTTGGCGTCTGTGCTGCTTGAGAATGTGAATTTGGTCATCGCGGGACAGCTTTGCTGTGAGGAAAGGACACGTGTGAGAAGAGCCTAAGGAAGAATGACATTACGGCCGGCACCAGGGTTTCCCTCAGACTCCCCGCCCCTGCTTCACATGGATCATCTCACTGAAGCCTCAGAACATGCCCGGTTTATTAAATGGGACTCAGGCAGGTTGAAGAGTTTTGCCCTTGAACTTTACTCAAGGTCACATACCTAATTAGTAGGTTTGCAACCCAAGACTCAAATCCCATGCTTCTAGTCACTCCTTTTCCAAAAGACAACTCCAGTGTCTCCTGCTGCTCGCTCAGCAGCTGGCAGCCTGCACCAGGGCCTGCGGGTCCCTCCCGGTGCACGAGCCAGGCTTGCTTCCCAGGGGGCTTTTCGGGGACAGGCAGTGACTCTCTGTCCCCTCCTCAGGGACCGTGTGTGCCCAAGTCTGGCCACCTGTGGGTTTCCACCTGGAGGCTCTACCTTCCACTCGCCCGCAGGACATTGCTCTGCAGGAGTCCTGGCGCTGGGGAGAGCCGGCTGCCTCTCCTCTTCGTGTCCCTTGTTGGGTTTCTTTAAACCACTCAGAACCGCCCGCTCCCATTCCCTGCAGCTCCCGTGCAGAGCGGCCAGGACAGCTGGCTGCGGCCCCCCTGCGGCCCTATAGCAGCAGCTGCCCGTGGCTCTCGTGTTTCGAAGTCCAATTCGCTGCCTCCTGGACAAACGTGTGACTTAAGAGCCAACATACAGATGCCGACACTATCCAGTCCCCGTGCTGCCTGCTCAGAGGACTGAGACTGGAGCCGAAGTCTGAAGCAGTACGTGGTGTCCTAGAGTGTGGGCTTTAGAAGGGACACACCGGCGCCAGTTGCCTTGGCTTCCTTAAAGGGGAAATGGAGATAAAGTGCCTACTTCAGGTCATGGTGGGATGTAGTGAGAGAGTGCAGCGAAGCCCCCACGCAGTGCTCGGCACCCAGGAACTGCCCAGGAAATGGGAACAATGGCCATCGTCCTTATAATCCCAATGGACCTGAGCCTCCTCCTCCTCCCTCTGAGCCTGGCTGCTAAGTCTCTCATCTCTCAGGAGTGGGCAGGCGCTCAGGGCGGGGGCAGGGGACACAGAGGGGCCGAGGCCGGAGGGCGAGTGCCCTGTTACTGTTATTTCAGGTGACGGCGGTGGGCACAGTCACGGCGTTCCTGAGTGTCAGGGGTTCCAGACTTTCAAAACTTCCATTCCATCACAGGCTGATATTTTTGTAAAACACAATATAAATTAACTAATAAAAACGAAGATAAAAAATAAGTCAAAGGCATGCCCTGATTTTATTACCAGATGCAGCAGCCACAGAATTTTCCTGGCCTGCTGCTCTGAAAGCTGGGCCTGCTCCCAGTCTCCGCGCTCCCGCGTGCGATGGCCCCACAGTGCTACCCACACTCCCGCCACATGGCCACCCCCAGAGCAAAGGTTGCGATCTCTTCCTGAGGTCAGGGGACAAAACTCCTTCTAGCTCCAGTCCTTCCATTCAGACATTGTCTTGGAATTTGGCTTCGTAAGTTAAACCCGTGTCAGAAACAACGGGGTGTGCCTGGTGGTTTAAGAACACTGGGTAGAGGGGCTTTTTTCTTCGTCTTGGTTTTCTTAGCTAAGGAGGGGCCAGTAATCACCCTGTTTTATCTACTCTGTGTGACTTCCGTGAAGAGCAAATAAGCCAGCGATTGGAAGCCATTGTACTAGGAATGCTAAAGGGCGCCAGGGACAGTGGCAGCGGCCCCTCCTCGTTCTGGGGGATGCACGGCGCCTGAAGACTTATTGTTCCAGGTTTAGTGTGAGCAAACCCAAGGGCCACGGCTTGAAGTAAGGTAGGAACCTGCCGAGGCCCGGATGGCGCTCTCGCGGGCCAAGAGGCTGGTGTGCAGAGCTGGCGGCGGGGCTGCCCTCTGCGGGTGCTTCCTGCGCATCGGCCAGCCGCGTGCCTCCTGTGCAGAATGGCCTGCTGAGGCAGCGCCAGGCTGGGCCTGCACAGGTGAGGGCCTGCTTCAGAGGGCAGATTTTAGGTTCTTTTCTCTTTCAATAAAAAGTGGGACTTCACCTTTAACAGCTGGTGACTGCAGACCCAGCCAGCCCACAGCCTCCGGGTGGGGCCCTGCTGTGACGTCACACAGGGCAGCGTGGGCCTGGGTGTCTGCGATCTGCAAAGCAATGCTGCGATCTGCAAAGTGATGCATCTGGAGAACTGCCCAGTTAGGGGTACCCCCAGGGGCACTTGTTACTGGGGAGCCTAGTTACCCCTTGGAGAGCTATAGCTCAGGGACCCCATGGCTGGCCTGCGCCTGGGTCCGTGGGCTCCACCCTCGGAGCCGGGTCTGTTAGGGGAGGAAGTTCACGCCTCCTGCAGGTGCTTTGAGGCACAGAGCAGCCCTGCGAGGGGCCGGTGGTTATTACTCCTGTGGACACAGCTCGCTGTGAAGGGGTCTGCAAGCCCCGATCTTGGGAAGCTCGGGGCGCCTGCCTCGCTGCTCACCTCGCCCATCTCTGAGCACCACCTCGCCGTCCCCAGTGAGCCAGCGGTAGCAGGGGAACTCGATGTAGTCCCCGGAGGGCGTCTTCAGCGTGACGTACTTCAGGTACCAGTCGTCGTGCAGCCAGTACTTGCGCTTCTCGATTTTGATCAGCTGGATCTCGCCCAGCTCCTCATCCACCGTCACATCGTAAGAATCGACCTGCGAAGGAGAAAGGGCAGGTTAGATCTCTGAGTGGTCACGCGCCCAGGTGTCTGCAGGTGCCTGCCCTCTGGCGGCGCCCTGACCTGCGGGGCAGTGGGACCACCTGCGGGTCTGCGGTGCTGGAGGCAGCGGGAGGGAAGGGCAAAGGCAGCGGCTGTGGGAAGCCTGGACGCAGGCCTTCCTCGGGCACTTGTTAAACCAGATTCCACCAACCCTGAGCTTTCCCTCGGCGGCAGAGCCTAGAGCTCTCAGCATGCCAGTCGGGCCAGTGGAGGGCACGCTGTTCATGGTGCATGCGCCCCCAGGCGCCTTACTCCTCTCCTGCCAGGAGCACCCTGAGGGACTTTGCCAGTAAAACGAGAAGTTGGGTGTCGTCAGAGACCTCTGGGCTTTGGGCACAGTGAGCAGCTCGCAAGCTGTGGCGGCTGCAGGTGCCAGACGCTGTGGTTAGAAAGCAGAAGCCTCCTCCCTGTGCCCTGCGGTCTCGGCCTGGGCTCCGAGGACAAGGCGCCAGGTGTGTGTGTGAGATGACACTTCCTTGTGGTCTTGGCCTGGGTCTGGGCAGGGTGGCGGCTCCAGGGGAAGTGGCTTTTCTGTGGCTCCAGGGGCTGGAGGGGCTGAAGTGTCCTGGGGTTGACGCAGGAAGGCTGGGGCTCGGGGGAGAGGACAGCCATTCCCAAGGAGCAGGTGCAGGAGCATCCTGGTGGACACTCCTGGGAGGGAGGAGCCTGGCACCTGGGACTGCGAAGGACAGTGGGGGCTCGCGGCCTCTGGGGCTGGGCGGCTCTCAGAAGCAAGGCCAGCTGTCCGGCTGGGTGGTGATGGACAAGGAGAGGAGGGCAGCTTTCCTGCGGGTGGGAAGAGCAGGGCCACCTTCAACAAGCCTGTGGTGGGGTCACAGGAGGAGGGGCCCTCCAGGTTCCCCTGCCGCCCGCCCCTGTAGGCCTGGCAGAGGGCTTCGGAGTCTCACCCAGGATAAACAGACTGAGCGAACGGCAGGGGCCCCATATGCCGTCTGACAGGGCCGTGGCGGGGTTAGAGGAATACGCCTGCCAGTGTGGCTGCTCGCTGGCTGGCCCCGGCTTCCAACTCAATGCTCAGGAGGCAAGCAAGCATCTGAGGAGTTCAGCCCCCACAAGTCAGCAAGTCTTTTAGGCATGAAGTCTGGCTACTGTGGCGTTGGCACCCACGGGAGCCACTACTGGACAGTCACAAAGGACAGAGACAGGAGACCACGGGGTCCCAAGCATCAAACACAAGTCGAGTCTTAGGAAGGCCCCACATTACTCCCTCCTCTGCGGGGCCAGCGCCAGGTGGCTGCTCTGCTGTCTGTTTGCCCTGACACATTGAATTCTCATGTCCATTCAGCACAGTGGACACTATCAACACTGGCTGCCCCTACCCAGCCCTCAACAAATGCAAAGCGTGTGCATGACTGTGTGGATGGTTCCCACTTTTCAGAAAGAAACAGGCTCCCAGAAGTCAGGCAGCTGCCAGCCTTGGCGTAATTGTGGCCCCATGACTGCAGTCCGCACCTGTGTGGTGGCCAGTCCAGTCCTCCACTGTTCCCTGTGGCCACGTGGTGGGAAAAGTCCGGGACTGGGAGCCAGTGACCTGGCTCTGAGCCTGGCTCACCCCCTCGATGCAGTGTGCAGAGGCAGCGTGGGGTGGGGTGGAGGGCATGGACTAGCTTCCTACGAGATGGCATTTGAGGCAGCTCTTGGGACTTAGTAAGATTTCAGAGGGGAGGGGAGCGGGAGAAGGGGGATGGGCAGGGCCTTTCCGTTACAGGAAAGGAGAGAGCAAGATCCTCAGGCAGGAGGCGGCTGGAGCACGGAGCTCCCTGAGCAGAGGCGGCAGGAGCTGCAGCAGATGCTGGAGGGAGCCATGGAGCCAGGAGGCATGCCCTTCACCAGCCGCAGTTTGTGGAAGGACCACTGTGCTGATTTCACTGGTGGTTCTCAACTCTCTTTTAAACATTTCAGCTAAGTGTCAGCTGGCCAGTTTTCAACTGATTTTTGTATCCGCATTTTAAGGAGGGTTTCATTTTCTCTGCCCAGATCCCTGCTGTTGCTGTGACAGGGATCTCTGCCGGAGCAAGGACAGGGGAGGGCCATGGCACAGCCAGCCTGGGGTGCCCATCTTGGGGGGCTGGTGGGGGCTGGGAGTGGGGAGGAAGAGGCTGTAGAGCAGAGAGAGAGGGCGATTAAGGGGTGGACAAGGGAGAGACTGAGTAGAGAGAAGATGAAAGGGGGCTGGAGGGGGGAGAATGGGTGAGCAGGAGGAAAATGGGAGCCAGAATGGAAGGAGAAATTGGAACA